CCAGACCTGCCAAGGAAGCTTGGAGAAGAAAGTGTCATGCCATCAGGAAGGACTGGTGACTCCAGGGGCTGTGAAGGGCAGGGGGCCACAGCTCCTCAGAAGATGCCTGGCATGGTGCTGTGCAAGCGAGCCCATCCTAGTTCAGCATCAGTCATCTCAGGGGGATCTTTACCCACGATACACTTAATCCCAGACAATCTAGAGGTGACTAACACTACTTATTGTTGGGCCATGAAAACTTACTCTGCACACTTGCACTAGCATTGACCTTTCTGTGCACTGAGTCATTGTTAACTCTTATTTTTGCATGCAAAGCCAGGCAGAGCTCTGCTCCTAGAGTTACCCTTCCTCATCCCTCCATAACACTCGTTTCACAGCTCTTCTTCCCTCCCTTGTCCCTGTGCCTATGCTGGGCTACTTTTCAGCACAGTAAAGTCAATACTGTGTAATAAATACACAGGATTCTTGTAGTTTAATACTTCCCAAAGCTTACTACTTCTTTACTGCTTTCAATGACTGATATTCTTCTTGCTACATTATTCTATAGGACAGGATGATGCTCAGGTGGTAGTCCTAAACTGGCAGCTCAAATATATTTCTGGTTAAACACTTAGAGAACTGAATTGCTTCTTAGATGCTCCATCCACTCAAACTCCAGGCTTTTTATGTGTTTAGGGATATAGATGGATTTAGGGGACAAATTTACAGAAATATTTTTGAAAACCACAATCAGTATTTAAATTTGAAGTACTTAACATCTTGCAATTATCATCATCTTGTAGTTTTCCTTAGGCCCTTGGCTCCCTGCCTCTCCCCTGTAGTGACCTTTTACATTGCATGTTCCTCGGAGCAGGCTCCGCTTTATCACGTCTCTCCTCAAGGTGCCAAAATGACCACTAACACCTGAAAGGATGAAAAAGACATTATAGTCCTTCTACTGATGTTTAATTGTTTACAGAAATGTGCCTTTTAAAATTTTTTTTTACACTGTTTGTCACAATGCCTGATTTCTATGCATGTGGGAGGCCTACCTGTTGAGATATCTATATGTCTGCATTACAACCTGGTAGTTGCTGTCATGGTCTGTGGCTCATGCCTTTGGTTTACCACTCTGCATTTCTATTTGCGTATCAGGTTAGTGACACACTGATATGCTTCATTACAAAAGTTGCAAATTCCTTGCAGCCGGTCCTTGAAAACATACTCAGAAGTTTCATTTCCATTCATAGCTTTCCAATTCTATTACATTTTTTCCCTCCAAGTTCCTCAAAGATAGGAGAATTCTTTTGAAAGCATCTGGAAAAGGGTATTTTGATGGAGAATGGGCATCCCAAATCACTAATGGTCCAATAATCTCCAGCTGAAAAATTTAGCAGGGTGACCAACATTACAACAAATCAGTCTGAATTAGGGGGCATTCTGTTGTTTAACAAAAAGGACAATGAGTCAAAAAGAGTTTCTTTTACCTGATAATGGAACTGCAATTGCTTCTAGGATACTTCATATCGCTGGCTTAAAAATGAGAAACTGTTGCCTGGACCATTTGCATCTTGACAAACAATCTCTAGTTCATTGTGATTCTAAACAATGTACAGGATCCATAAGCATGCTTAGTCAGCCTGGCCAGACACCTGAGAGCCATGAGCAATGTCCCTTTTATGACTGCACACTTCTACTTAGAGAGAAAAGATAAAAAAAGGCAAAGAAAACCATTCCTCTTGACTCCTAGAGATTGCTGCTCAGATCTTCCTTCAGTCTGGAAGCAGCCAGACCACCAGCGTCTCTGAAAGCAGATGCACCTCCAGAAGCAGAAAGCAACAGCTTATGAAGGGTAAAATACCCTCTGGCCTCCTGTAATTTCAGATCTGATATGGAAGTAGTGGTTGAAATAGCCAGCATTTTGCTGGAGGTCAGATTAGATAATGAGATGACAACCTTTCTGACTTTACATACCAAAACCTTAACAAGACTGAAAGCCTAAGAGGGAAAGCAAAGAAGAAGAGCTCTGGGAGCTGCTGGCAAGTATGAGACAGTGGTGGGTCCTCACAGGTGTCCTCTGCTCTCTGGGTGCAGTAGGCTAGGCTCTGAGCTACAGTCCTCTGCTTTCTGTATGAAATAACCAGTATCTCTGGTAAGCAAAACAGTAAGTGATCAGGGGAAGAGATGGCAGGATGGAGTTATCCTTTCAAGGTCAACCTCAGAAGAGCTTGCATCCCCAGTGAAACCCCAGTACAGACTCAACACTGTGCTGTGCTGACAGGCCTTCCCTGGCTCAGCTGCTGGGGGTAGCCTGGAGAATATGAATTTTGCAAAAGGAACAGGGCAGCCTGAATGTTGAATTACTTTTCCTGAAATACAGGTCCCAGCCAATGCACTCCTTATGACCGTTTTTAGCTCACCCTATCTGCTTCCCAGGCAGAACATCAGAACAGCAAGATTTGCGGCTGCACTGCTCCTACCTGGACCGACTGACAGCTGATGAGTAAGCAAGTCGTTTTGGGATGAGACGGGGTAAGCAGAGGTCTGCTTCATTGGCTGCTGTAAGCAATAGCTCCTGCGTAAGGCAGTAATCCATGGTTGAAGTCAGAGGTTGTTGTGTTAAGCAATGCAGTTTGAACTTAGGCTGATATCCTTAATGGTGAAGGCTCATGTGAGCCATGTTTTCATGCTCTGGCCCCCACTGGTGGTCTAAACAGTCTGCTTAATTTTCCTTATCATCTGGAAGTGAGTGATGCCCTATCCTTCCCTGACCCTGGGAAGGGGAAGATATTTGCTTGTAGAAGAAGCTTCGTGCCTGGATCCTGCTGGAGAGATAACCCTGTGTTCAAACACTGATGAGCAAAACAGAGATTGCCGACTGTTTTCTTAGGCTGGGGTATGTCTTGCCTGAAATGGTCTTACGGCTTTCTCTTTTAAGCATGGATGCACAGGCTATCTCGTCTCCTACTTCCAGCCATCTAGCATTGCTGCCAAAAGCACAGTGAAAAATAGCAACAGGCAAGTAACTAACTCTTAGTTTAGTTTTTAAGGTAGTTTTGTTGTTGAAAATCAGGGGAAGAGAAAGTGTTATGTGGCTACTCCACTGTCAACCTAATCTGTGACCTGTATCTTAGGAGCTGGAGCATTTGCTGCTAATTCCTTTTAACACGAGCTGCTACAAGACTGTTTCTGCAGGTTAACTAATGTCTTCTCAGATTTTGTCCCAAGTATTCTCAATAAACAGCTCTGCAAGATGGGATGGCTACAGCAAAGCTAGCATGTTATGATGTAACTTGTTATTTTGAACACTTGATACAATAACTGTTAGCAATGACTATTACTCTTGAGGTGCCCCTTCATCAATACTTTACATGGACTGTGCTGCTTTCTCTGAAATTCTCCAAAACTGGTGAAATAACATTCAATGAGAAAAACCACCTAGCAGCTGCTTAAAGGTTCTCATCAAATCCTGCTGATTTTTCTGAATTTTACTCTAACTTTGAAATGACTTTGGATTAGCCTTGTACTTTTAAGTGCTCTTAGGAAACAAACTTGGCAAAGAGGACTGGATCAGCATCCATGGAGATGTGATCAAGCAGAAAGTGCAAAAACTGGATAACCTAAACTATGACTTTCGATGAGCAGCATCACATTTGGAGGCAGAAGTGCACGGGTCAACTTTGTGCACAAAGACTCAATAAGCAAAGGAGGGAATTTTTTTACTAGGCTTCTATCAAGATTTCTTTTTACTGCAAGGAAATAATGCCAGATATCTCTGTATGAAGCCAACAAACAAAAATGGCCAGTTTATTCAAGCATTTGGCTGTGCATTTGATGGTATCATTGCTTTCCATTTTGTAAATGAAACCACTTCTAATGACATGAAAAGGTAAATGCTTCACATACACTTGTGGTGGCCCTTTTTCCTGACGTGGAAGTGAAGCTGAGTAGCACAAAGCCAGGAACCACTTCTCTTCAGCATTGCAAGTCTAAACAAAGAAGTAGTGAATGTGCACTGGTTTTAAAGGAAAAACTTTCAGCATGTCTGTGATAATCAGGTGGTTTAAACTGCTGAGTTCAGTTCGGTTGATAAGTCCAACACGACCCAGCAATGTGCAAGGTGACATCCTGGGCTGCATCAAAAGCAGTGTGTCCAGCAGTTCGAGGGAGGTAATTCTCCCTCTCTACTCTGCCCTCTGGAGACCTTATGAGAAGCTGGTGTGCTTTGTCCAGCTCTGCAGTCCCCAGTATAAGAGTTACATGGATCTGCTGGAGCAAGGCCAGAGGAGCAAGATGATCAGAGGGCTGGAGCATTTCCCATGTAAAGATGGGCTGAGAGAGCTGGGGCTGTTCAGCCTCTGAGGAGACCTTATAGCCGTTCTCCAGTACCTAAAGGGGGTCTACAAGAAAGCTGGAGAGGGACTTCTGACAAGGCATCTGGTGATAGGACAAGGGGGAATGGCTTTAATCTGAAAGACAGTAGATTTCAATTAAATGTTAGCAAGAGATTCTTTGCTGTGAGAGTGGTGAGGCACTGAAACAGGTTGCCCAAAGAGGTTGTGGATGCTCCATCCCTGGAAGTGTTCAAGGCCAAGTTGAATGGGGCTCTGAGCAACCTGGTCTTGCAGAATGTGTACCTGCCCTTGGCAGGGGTGTTGGAACTAGACAACCTTTAAGGTCCCTTTCAACCCAAAGCCTTCTATGATTCTGTGCAAATGGTCTGAGCCACTCTACCTGACTGTGACCCAAAGATCACAGTGGGCAGTGTGTGAGTATCCATTAGGGTTTGAGTTCTAAGACAAACCATGAAAAATTTGTGCATGCATCTACAGTAACAGCTAATGATTATTCTTTCTTTGAACTTTGTCCAAAGTTCATCTCTAAAACAAACTTTAGGCTGTGTGTATTGACTTCTCAGCAGAATAAACATGCCAAATCTTGAATAACACTTAAATCACTCATTCTAGCTTCTTTTAACTTGTTTATTAACCAGAAAGAGAAAAAAAACAGGGAAATACACAGGTTTTGCTCAGTTGTTTATTTCTCTGGTGTGTCTATCAAAAAAATCTGAAGGAAAAAAGCAACTCTGGTCTCATAGTTTTCAGAGTAAGCCGACTCCTCTTCTTGCTTCAAACTCTGAAGGTAAAATCAAAACCCAGTGGCTGTAACACTCAGCCTCCACAGCTTGAAGTGCTGGTAGTAAAAGTTTACACGGAGGGGGGAAAATCAGAGGTTTGGGGCTGGGACTTTCAGAGGGTTTAAAAATTGGTTACGGACTCAAGACTGGAGGGGTGAGACAGGAGGTGGCTGGACAGTGCCCCAGCCCCAGGAGAAATCACAGTAAACTACAAGCAGATCTGACAGTAATAGACCTTGTCCCAGGATTACTTGATCTGTTCAAAAGCTGTAGAAGTAAAGTAGAAAGAAGTATAAAATGCAAATATATATTCATTAGAAACTGTGTAATATCTTAATTATACTAACCATAACACTTCTCGTTAGTGTTGGACACATGAAAAATCTACTGCAATGGTTGCTAGATTTTTGGTACTCCTGTGCACATGCCCTTCCTTACCTGTTATTCCGTGAACTCTGTACCTATCAGTAACTATTTAACAAGCACCCTGATATATTTTCTGTGCTTTCCTTTTCTTTAGTACTCCATCAGCCCTGCTCTTCAGTATCATACCTGGGTTGGAAAAAAAAAAAAAGGAGAAAGAAGAAGAAAAAAAAGACGGTGTAGGAGAGATTGACTCAAAAAGAAAAAGCCTAACAAAGTGACATTGAAAAAAAAAATGTATTTTTGGATGCTTTGTACCTTTTTCTTTTTGTTCCCTTAAGGTTTGTGTCTTTAAGGGCACAACCACAAATCCACAGGCTAGAAACTTCATTAAAAAGAAAACAAAAACCCTGAGTTTCTTGCATAGTTGTATGAGTCCACAAGCTACAGCTTTAAGAAGGGCACTAAATGTTGTAAAGTTCACAATTAAATCACTCAGAATTGGCAACCACCTGATGGAAAAGAACGGGGAAATTAACAGTAATTAAATAAACAATGGCCCAATATTTTTTTACAGTTGAGAGGAAACCTTGCTGTAAATGCTCACTTACATTGAGCCCACTAGAATCCTCCAGATGATAAAACTGTGCGTTACTGCCCAATTATGACAAGTTCCCGAGTTACTCATCACGGCTTCTTTATGGATTTAGTTTCACAATAAAATAATGAGTTCATCGTGGCTTCCTGAAGCATCTGCAGAGATAATGCAAACACTTTCTTTTACTCACAACTTGTGAGCATTCTGAAGAAATAAAGTGATGAGAGAGGCTATTTTAAAAAAATGGGGTTTGCATTGCATCAAACCCGGTCTTTTTGTGAGAGCTCATGCAAATTCCGCAGCGTCCAGAACACGTCCCACTGCCTTAGCAATGGTGGCTCCGAGATAAAGGCGAGGTTTTAAATATTTCTGAGACTCCGGAGACTTTCAGAAGGCGGAGACGCACAGAGGCATGCCTGTAACTTAAGCCAGTGTATTGCAGATAAGGACTGACCCCGCACAGGTTGGCCGCTCGCGTTCGGGCAGCCCCCCGCAGCTCATTGTGTCCAAGCTGGGAGCTGGGGGGGCGGTGGTCCCCGAGCCGCTGGCACAGGCGGGCCCGGCACCGCCCCTGGGGGCGAGGGACGGAGAAAGGGAGCGAGAAGCCCCCAAGCCCAAGTAACGTTTATTTGTTTTTCACGCCAACGGGCACCGCAGAATCCTTTTAATTCATGGCGTGCAACTTCCTTGTTTTGAACCTGCTTATGAAAGTTTCGGACTGGCCATGGTCTTTGGTTTTCTTGATTTCGGTTTTTTTTTTTTTTTTTTTTTTGGGGGGGGGATTAGAAAAGGAAGAAAAAAAAAAAAGGCAGGGAAACTGATGCGCCGCCGCTCGCACGAAAGCAAATGGCAGCATCGCCCGGCACTGGAGTAGTAAGTTAATAAATAAATAAGCCAACCCCGCTGCGCGAACGGCGAGGCGGGGGAGGGAACACCCTCCCTCTTTGCCCGGCCGCGCGGCGAGCGGGTGCGCTATTCCTGCGAATAACATGGCAGGGCCGGCGGTGCGGGGAGGGGAAGGAGGAGGGCGGCTCTTGGCCCGGGCGGCCGGGCCGTGGCGCATCCGCGGCTCATCCAGGGGGCTGATGATCCAGGGGGATGAGGCCGCCGCTCTCGCGCTCCTCCCGCCGCCGCTTCCTGCGCGCGCCCCCCGCTCCCCCCCCGGCCCTGTTGCATCAACTTCCTGTGCGGAGCCCCTCGCGGCGGGGCCCCGCGCGCCGCCGCTCCCCCCGCCCGCTGCCTGCGCGCGCCACCGCGCGCGCGCCCGCGCGCCGCCCCCGCCGAACCCCGCGCGCCGGGCCGGGCGGGCGGGGGGGGGGGGGGGGGGGGGGGGGGGGGGGGGGGGAGGGGGGGGTGATGGGGGTGTGTGTGGGGGGGGAACAAGTCGGCCGGCGAGCAGCCCCCCCCGCCCTTCGCGCTGCTCCCTCACGGTCCCTGCGTCCTCACGGCCGCCCGGTACCGGCGGTGCGGGGCCACGCGGCCACCCGGTGCCCCCCGCGGCTGCGGCCGGCGGCGCCGCTGCTCCGGCAGAGTTTGGTGCCCTACTTCACTCTACTTTAGTTTCACTCACTTTACATCCGGGCTTTTTCCCTAGGCAATGGGGGCCGCAGCACAGCCCGTTCCTTAGGCAAAGGGAAATAAATTCGCCGCACCGACACGTCAAGTAGTCCCCCCTTAGGAGAAGACGCCGAGCCCGCCCTCCCGGCTCCCTCCCGGCCTGGGCCCGGCCGGCGGTGCCCCGCCGTCACAGCGGGAAGAGGGGGAGTGTGGGCGTGAGCTCAGCGGTCCCCGCTCCCTCTATGGGTCTCCGGCGACGGGCCGGGCCAGGCCGGGGCGGGCGGGGGCGCGCGCGGCGGCGTGTCGGGAGCGCGCCGCAGGCAGGCAGGCAGGCAGGGAGGCAGGCGGCGGAGGGATCCCAGCGAGCGGTGCTGCGGCCGGGCCGGGTGAATGGGATTGAAGAAGAGTTCAGCTTCTCGGCTTGTTTTTGTGTCACAGTTTCTCTCCTCCTGCGCCTCTCCGGCTTCGTGCCGCCCTCCCCGCCCGCCCTCTCCTCCCCGCCGCAGGAGGAGCCCCCCGCGGAGAGGGGGAAGGAAAAGGACCCCACAGAGGCGAGAGCGAGCGAAGAGGAGGAGGAGAAGGGAGCAACCTACCATCTTCCACTCCCCGCTTAGCTTAAAGAAAGTGAGAGGAGGAGAGAGAGAGAGGCGCCCAGAAGAGGGGGACAGGGAGGCCCAGAGGAGCGGCGGCGCCGGCACCCTCCCCCTATGAAGAAGAGTCCTCCCCCTCACAGAGAGGTCCTGCCAGGGGGACCCCGGCCGGCCCGCAGCACCACCGCCGCCGCCAGCAGGGTGTAGTATCCCACCTTTCGGATTCGCCTCCTCCTCCTCCTCCTCCCTGCCCCCCCCGCCCCCCGGGCGCCGTCCCCCCCTCTCCCCCCGCGCCCCCCGGGATGGCGCCGGCGCGCCCCGCACTCTCCGGCCAACTTGGCGATGAGGAGCAGCAACTTCGCTGCGGCCCCCGGCCCCTCCCTCGGGGGGGTGGCGGGGAAGAGCGGAGCGTCCCGGGGCGGCCCCCCGGCCTCCCCGGCAGAAGTTTGCGAGCGGGAGCGGGAGAGGTGGAGGAGGGTGACACTTGGGGTAAAAGGAGGAGGTGACACATTGGGGTTGGGGGGAGGAGCAGGGGAAGGAGATGACACATTGCACTGGGGATGGGGTGGGGGAGGGAGGCTTATCCCCTCCCCTCCGGTTTCCTTCAGGATGATTATTTCCAGGCCCTTTTTTCTTCGTCGGGTCCTTCGGCGCGATGCTGTGGGGGAAGTTTTATTATTATCTGGAAAATGATGCCGCTCTCGATGATGGATAATTCGTAGTAAAGCCGCTGCTGCGTTTTTTTTTTTTTTTTTTTTTTTTTTTTTCCTTCCCTCCTTCCTTTCATTCGTCTTTGTGGCCCGAGCAGCGCCGGGAAAATTCCGTTTCTTCAGCAACTTGTTATTCCGGAGCCGGGCCTGCCCCCCTCGCCCTGGGGCTGCCCTTCCCGCACAGGTACGGGGCCGGGGCCCGGGGGTGCCCACTCCTGCTCCGGCATTGGGTACGGCCACTTCCTTATTTTTATTTTTTCCCTCCCTCCTGCGCCCGTGTAGGTGGAGTGGGGCTCTATGTGGGACTCTGCCATTTGGTGTAGTCCTCTTGTGCATGCTCCTTTCTTCACTTGCCTTCCTGCGGGATTTTTTTTTTTTTTTTTTTGGTGGTAGCGTGTGTTTTGATTTTTTCCGTTCTTTATTATTCCGAGCTTCGCTGTCGGTAGAGCTTTCCCCCCAACCACCTTCTGCAGTTTGGTGGGTGCTGATGGGATTGTACGACGAGGTTTTTTTGGGTGAATTCGTATTGGATTAATGCATGGAGCTCTTCATTCAACTTCTTTTCAAGTGTCAGAAAATGAGGCTATGAACAGATGTGTTTCAATATGGAGAGATTTCCAAGTTCCTAATTCTTGGGGGTGGAGGAAAGAGTGCCATTGGAGAGTGGCTTTTGTTTTCGATTGGTGAACAAATGTCATCACATTTCAGTCACGTGCTGTAATATTCTTTGTTCAGCTATCAAAGTATGGTATCTCCTACACCTGTTCCCACTTTTTAATTGTAAGTAACAGTGATTGCCTGCAAATCTTATAATTGTGGATAGGAGTGGTTCCCCTCTTTCTCCCCCTCCTACCCCCTTTGGATATTTGTTTGGGCCCAAGCGCTGAGCTTGACAATGAACTTTTGTTTGCCGTGGAGACTGCATGTAAAAAGGTCCCACTGGGGGTAATAACTTGGCGTGTCACGGGAAAGTTGTGTACTGTGATGTACTGTAGGTCTGCGCGTGGAGAAATCAGGTGGGGATGTGCGCTCCGTAATGGCAGAGCTCCAGTAAGGGGTAGGCTCCTTTGGGCCAGGGAAATTTTCTTGTGCTGTTGCTTGTTATCAGGTTAAAGGACGGATTCTCCTGTACACCCAGATAGATACATAGATTTATAGATGGATGCATCTTTTCTGCTTAGCTGTAGATTTTCAAATATTAGAAATAAGAAGGATTTTGGATGTCTGTTAACTTTTTTTTCCTCATTGTGCTCACTTCTAACAATGAAGACACCTGCTTAGTTTCAGTTTTGTAAGTCAGCTTCCTCTTGCTTTCCTCCTCTTGCCCGGGTTAGTTGGTGGGGCTGTATCTGCTACATAGCAGGGAAATTTTTAACTTTCATAAAGACGGACTTTTTCTGGAGCTTAATTTGTGAAAAAAATAACATTCTTTTCAAAGCCTTGGGAAAAAAAGAGCAACCCTTAAAAATCCAAAATCCATTCTTTTTATCAGGTTAATGTGTAATGCTAAAACCTTTATATTAAGCTTGTTTTTGATTGTGTATCATATAACTTTATAGGTTATATTAAATAGTGATATTAAATTACTACTAAGAACAGGATCTTAAAAAAAAGAAACAAAAAATAAGCATAGCTACTCACATTAGTTAAAGAAGTTAATTACCATACTTTAGTAGAAAGATCACAGGCTTTGGGAATTTTATTTATATCTGTTCATACTTCAAGAGAGCTAAATGAAACTGCTTCTTTGGGGGCACTTTTTATTATTGTTTTCTAGAAGGGAATTCTGTAGCTCAATTAATGAAACTTCAAAACTGTATTTAAAAAAAAATGATGCAGTTCCTGCATGTTTTTAAATCTCTCAGCTTTACTCTGGTAGAGAAATTAGATTGTTTTATGATAGTTACATCAGCTAGGAGTTTGAGCTCATACAGAGGGATTATGAAGCAACCTCTTCATCCATTGATTTCATGTTGCATAGTAGCATGTGTAGAGTATCTCTTCAAGGTCTTAAGAGACCCGTTGTCTAGCAGAAAGTAGGTGCTTGCTCACTGAGAGTACTTGCCACCAGCTGGATGTCACCCATGTCATATCCTTGCTTTTTAACTGTGCTGACCTGAGCGACAGGAAACTTGGAGTGGATCCCGTTGTGGATTTTGGTGATTTTTCATTTAACTGGCAAAGCTAACGTGTATAATTCAAAATGTTGTGTTGAGGAGTATTTTGTTATTAATAATTATTTTGCCATTAGTTGTTGTAAGATTTCTGTGGGAAAGCTTTTAATCTTTGCTCCTCTCTATGTGCTCCTTGAACTGGGTTTGTTGTGAATTGGAAGAAGGCATTTGAAAGTTGTTTTCTTTCTTTAGGGAATGAAAATAAAAAACTTTTCTTTCAAAGAACTTAAAGCAAAACTAGGAAATTAAAACTTATGTTGCTCAGGAAAGAAAAACTGCTGTGTGTTTTCCAGCTTCAACAGTGAAATATCTGCTTTGAGTTTAGGTTTTGTAAAGATCTTTCTTCACCCTAGGCCATTCAGCTTCAGCGGTGTTTCAAGTATTGGGCCTAAATAGTTCTTACGTCAACTTCCTTTTTTTTTTTTTAGAGATGAGGTTTTCTGTGTGCCTGTTCAACTTAGAAATTATGGTTTAAAAAAATAATTAAAAATGTCTTGGTGTGGATCAGTACAAGGGACACAATTTTCAAACAACTTTTTGTTTGTTTGTTTGTTTTTGAAAATAAAATGTGTTTTATTGACTCCTTAGAAAGTTGTAAAATTCCGTGTACAGTTGGAAAGCTTTGATAGTGAGCCTAGCTATCACTTGGGTTGCTCATGCAGCTTGTTCATAATGAACACATTGTAGCTGTTCAGTCCCTTTATACTTATTCTCAGAGCCCTGAAGAACTTTATTTGGTTAAATAAATTGATATTACTGGAAATTGTTTACAATGGAGATTTCTCTTTCATTTTAGTCCAGTTTGAAGGAATCTTGATGGACCATCTTATTTCATACATTATTGGCATTTTTTGTGGATACCAGAAACTCAAGATGACTATCATGTGAGAAACACATGTTGGTGACTTAGCCTTTTTTACTATTGTTTCAAGTTTGTTGATTTTACTTGTTTAAAATCCTCCAGAAAGAACTTCATAGTTTTGATAGGGCTTTGATTTTCTGGAGGGCCATCGTACAGGGATGTGAGCTGTAAAGCCTTTCCTTCGAGAGAGGCTCCTTGTGTAGAAGGAGCAGTGCTAAAAACCTGTTATTAAGCTTCTAATAGTATTTCTTCACTGTCCCCTTCACCCTTTATGCTCACAACTGTGCAGTCACATGCGTAACTGTATACTAGAAGTGTAAGACTCTACAAAAGGCCTGGCTCCTGTACGTTCGTGAATTGCCCTTGTTCAATTACTCTGTGCCAGAAAGCAACTCACATCCTGTTTCTGATGTATTTTAACAGCACAAAGGTTATTTAGGAACAAACCATATAGTGGAAAGGTGGGGCAGAGCACAGAAGGGTTTTGAGATGTCTACTGAATGCGAGGGGCTAGGATAGTTTTTATAGGTATCTTACATTAATGTTTCATGTTCATTATAGCACAAAGCCAGTGTCTGGCTTGTGCTGGTGGTAGAGAGATGCATTATGCAGGCAAAAAAGAATTTTATTTACATTTGATAGGGGTTAACTTTGCATTTTCTTATTTCCCTTTTTTTTTTTTTTTTCTTATTGCAAGTACAGTCTCATTTAAAAAAGACAAGAAAAGCCCTTGTGTTTCTTTTGAAAGTTTTAAATAATTTATGGCTCCTGCACCATACCAAGTTCTCACTGAACCAAAATTGTTAAAGTATGATTTTGAGTTTGATTTTACTTTTGTTATGTCAAAACCTTATGAAAGCAAAGTGGCAAGTATAAATCATAGAATGACTGTAAAATGTATAGAAATCAAGAGTTTTTAAAATGTATTTGGTGATGAGGAAAGGTGCACTCATGTGGTAATCAGACTTTGCAGTTAGAATCGTCTATCTCTAAAATAATTTTTGTAGCTGTAGAAAGTTCTGACAGGACCCTTCCTTTGGTCTGAGAGGATTGCCCTGTCTACTGTCCTAACAAAGCCACAAGTTTACCACATAGTCTTTTGTTTTAACACTTTGATCATCCCAGGCTTTTGAGGAAAAGTGCTGCTTGATACAGGCTTCTCTGCAGCATTTATTTTCTGATTACTGTTTATATCACTTTAATATCTCTGATGGAATTATCAAGTACCCCGTACCTTAAAAGCTCTTTGCCTAGAAGGTTTGCCTATTATTCGTTCCCTCATGCCTGAGATTTCTTCTTCACTGTCAATACAAGCACTCGCTCCTGGATGAGAAGAGATTGGATGCTCAAAGCATGCTTTAAAAAACCTCACACCAGAAAACAAATGCTCTGCTCCCACCCCTGCTAGACCTCCAGCCCCAGCCTAATGTTTGATATCACTGGTGGGAATGCATTTATAAGTGGTATGTAGAGGAGAAAGACTCTGCTTCATGTGATCGCTGTTCTAGGCCGTACTCACACAGCTTCTGTGCTTCTGAGAGTCTGGTTTCTTAAAATGTTTGTTTTCTTATTCTTCCCCTCCACCTGACAGTACTGCACTCGTAGTCAAAAAAGAAAGTTCATTTGGTACAGAAGTTGTGGTACCTGCCTCTGGATTGAAGGAACTACCTTTGCAGATGTAATTAGAAATAGGTTTTGAAAATGTACTCTGTGTGTTTCTTGAATTGCAGTACGGATATGTGAATGGTTAAAACAAACAAGGGCAAATATAAAGCTGTGACTCTTAAGATGGCCTGTGCCTGGACTCAGTCTCCAGGCCTGCGAGAGAACTCTAGCAGAGCAGCCAAGCTTTCAGTGGTTTGGTTTCCTTGTTTCTGCCTGTGAAATACAAGCTGTCAGTAGGAAAGGGAGAAGGAACATTGATTCCTGCCCTTGTTCCTCTTCAAACACTGCAGATCCAAGCATTGTTAACCATGTGGATCCCAAAGGCAGTGTAGTTGCAAACAGTTAATTGAAGAGATCAAGTGGTATCCTATTGAAGCTTTTAATTGTTTTAACAAAACTTCTGAGTAATCGCAATAATTATTTTCTGATAAGCTGGCTGATAGTAACTATGGCAACAGCTGTCTTCGGCCTATGGACGGCATTGCTGTGTTGACAAAACCTTTAGATGCTCCTGAGGCCTCTTGCCTCA